AATTAGATAAAGAATAGAAATAGTTCAGCATAAAGACAGTTGGATCTTGGTTCTACTACCATTATACAGCTCTCTAACTTTTATCTTTTTGAGTTTCAGTTTCTACATCTACAGCACAGGTATCACATATGATTAAACCCAACTGGATTGGTGAGAGTTAAAACAAAAAAGGCATGTGACACATCAAATCTCTGGCTCACAGTAGGCAATCAATGAATGTTCATGGTCTACGTTTCTTCTTTCCCTTCTCCAAATTAAATTTGACAGTGTTGTTTTCACTCTCAAAGCTACTGTGGTGAGAGAAAGAAGCATCTCAATGGAGTAAGTCTTTCAGATATGAAATTGTGAAATAAGTAAGTAAAGATATAAAATTGGCATGAGAGAGAGAGAAAGACACAAAACCCACAAGAATGTTAAGATACTATTAATCATTTCTATTTTTTCTTGGCTATGATGATGAGATTATATTTCATACTCAGTGAGGTGAGGAATTATTGAAACTTTGAAAAATGAAATTAAAAGTGTTTCATAAAAATGAAAATTGCTTCCACCTTTCAGGTGTTTTATCAGAACACTTTCACAATGAAAGGCCTCTCAATCATTCATTCTATTATTATTATTATTATTTTAAGATTTATTTATTTATACAAGCACTGGGCACAGTCAGAAGCGCAGGAGGGTGAGAGAATTCACCAGAGCCAGAGGAGGGAGCAGAACAGGCAGACTGACAAAGTACACTGCTGAAGGGAGCAGCGGGCGGCAGGAGAGGTCTGTGCACCATGTGGGACCCTTACCTGGTGGCCAGGGATCGAACCGGCACTACAGAGGCTGCAGGCAGTTTCCCAACCCAGCGCTCAACCGCTGCGCCACCGGGGAAACCCTCAATCATTCATTCTAGAGGACCTGTTTAGGTGCCTGCTATATGCCAATTGCCATATTGAGTGGCAGAGGGTATGCAAGAGAAGGTAGAAGAATATTCATTAAAGGCATCATACATAATAGGTGGTGTTAGGTATATACTATTATATTAGTTTGCTAGGGTTACCCCAACAAATACCAACTGGGTGACTTTAGCGGATATTAATTTTTTCAGTTATGGAGGTTGGAGATGCAAGATCAAGGTGCAGGCAGAACTGGTTCCTCTGCGGCTTCTTTCCTTGGCTTGCATTTGGTTGCCCTCTTACTGCCTCTTTACATAGTTTTCTTTTTGTGCATGAGTACCTCTGGTGTTTGTGTGTCCAAATTTCCTCTTCTTATAAGGAAACAGTAAGAATGGATCAGGGTCTATCATAATGGGATGACCTCATTTAATTTAATCACCTCTTTAAAAGACTTGTTTTCAAATACAGCCCATTCCAAAGTACTAAGGGTCAGAGTTTCAACAAATGATTCTGGGGGAACACAGCTGAACCCATAAGAAACATAATTTCTCTCAAACATTACCACTATTTTACAAATTAGAGAACAACTCATCAAATGTCACCTATAGAAAATGGGAAAAAATTCTAACCAAGGTTTCATTGTGAAAATAGTAAAGCCTTTGCTCTTCCTACCATTTGAAAAACTACCTACCTAGTTCAGAAGACACAATGCTGATTCATAGAACATTAAATATGGGGCTACTGATAATATAAGTAGGGACTTACTCACTGGACTTGTATCATTATATGGATATAATGGTCTCTGGATTTATAAACATTGATAGAAAACTTATTACACATTAGGCTAGGTTCTTCCACAAGAGTCTATTGGTTCTTTTATGTGCGGAATTGATGACTGGCAAACAGGAAGAGTCTTAGTGTACTTGGCCCAAAAGATGATCCGAAGCTGAAGTCAAATAAAAGAGGACTTTTTTGAATAAATATCTTAGGTACAACTTCTGTATTATGGGTACAGTCTATATACTGATATCCACATATGAAATCCCTAATCTGCTTTAGTTTTTTATTGTATAGTTGTTTTTTTTTAAGATTTATTCGTTTTATTTATGCATACAAGAACCGGGGCACAGGCCACATGTATGGGAGGGTGAGAGGATTCACCAGAGACAGAGTGGGGAAGAGAACAGGCAGACTGACTGAAATACACTACTGAGGGGACCAGCGGGTGAGACAGGAGAGGTCTGCCATGCCACATGGGTATCTCCCCGGCCCGCCGGGATCGAACCTGCACTGCAGAGGCTGCACAGCTTCACAGCGCTGTGCTCAACCACCTGCACCACCAGGGAGGCCCTTTATTGTATAGTTTTTAATTGAAGTAATTTTGGGATACTCCCAGCAGATAATTACCACCATAGTGCACCAACTACCAACTCACTCTTTTTCCACCACTACAGACCATTGTGCTTCCTATCCTCTGTTTTTTTCCCTCTCCTATCCTCTCCCCAATTTGGTGCTTCAGTTCTATGGTCAGCTATCAAGGGTTAGTTTTTTTTTTTTTAATTTTATTATTTTTTATTATTATTTTAGATTTTTTTTATATCATTCATTTTATATCATCTTCATTTTTATACAATGTATGCTTTCTCATCTCAGGTATAGTCCTTGTGAAATTCCCACCACCAATTCACCCATGTACCATCACCATAATCCCTTGTGCTCTTCCCATGCCTGTTTTGATCCTACTTCCTCCTCCCCCACTCCCCTGCAGAATGTCACTAGTTTATAGCTGCCTGTTGATTTTGATTTTTACTTTATTATAATTACTTTTTTGTTCCTGATCCAAGGGTTAGTTTTTAAGTTTGTCTTCATCTGACTATTAGCTTAGTTACTTTATATTCCACATAATAGTGCTTCATAATTTTCTATCTCATTGGCAACATATACAATACATTAGTGGGCTTTCAGTTTTATGGCATCTCAGGATGGACTAGAAAAGCCCCATGCTCTGTATCATGACATTCTAATTTGTGTGTCCAGGAATGAGTGTTAGGTTAGACTGTGGTGAGGCTGGCACCTGCTGTGCTATGGATGACTCTGTATTGTTATTGAAAGGTTGTTAAAAGTACCTTTTTATCTTGTGCTTTATGTTGTAGTCTATATTGTGTTAAACTGTTATTGTATTAGTTAAATAACTGCATTCCAAGATTATGTTACAATATTTCCAAAAAAACTTCACTCCAGGTCTATATACCAGGAACCAAGGCATATTTTAGAACCTTAGAATATATATACCAACCCTTATAAAAAATTGTTGGATTCCTGAAAGCAGGAGATAAAACTCTCATGTGAAAGACATCTGCCCTATGCCAGGGGGAAATAAACCAGAGAGTCAATTGTGGAAAAGTAAAATATATAAGGAGACTAAAGGAAGGTAAGAATTGTTTTAACAAGGTCTGCTTGAACAGATTTCTTCTTCTTTTTTTAAAGATTTATTTATTGATATAAGCACTGGGTACAGTCAAAAGCGCGGGAGGGTGAGAGAATTCACCAGAGCCAGAGCGGAGAGCACAGCAGGCAGAAGGACCGAAGTACACTGCTGAGGGGAGCAGCGGATGGCAGGAGAGGTCTGCGCGCCATGTGGGACCCTCACCCGGAGGCCGGGGATCGAACCGGTGCTGTAGAGGCTACAGGCAGCTTCGCAACCCAGAGCTCAACCGCTGCGCCACCGGGGAGGCCCTACAGATTTCTTTTGACCTTATTCTACTCTGGTGATAAGAATACAAACTCCATAAAGGTAAGCTGTCTCACTGTTCAACTCAGTATATAAACACTTAGCCCTAGTCACTTTTTTGGGTCTTCATTTTCCTATAGGGGTTCCCAAGTCTACATAAAAATATATAAGCCTTCCTGCTATTAATCTGTTGTAGGTTAATTTTTAATTCCATGCTTAACCAGAGACCCTAGGAGAGTACAGGAAAAGTTTTACCTCCCCTATACTATATAAATCCTACCTACACATACGTACATACATATGTCTAAAACACCACTTTATTATGGGGGTGAGGAAAGCCTTCTTAAGAGGCTGAATTGTGGACATACATGACTGTTTCTTTAAATTCTCTGAATATCAATTACACCCTTCAAAAAACTCAGTCATCTGATTTTTAGTATTTTCTGTACGTCTAAAGTATGAACATTAAAAAGCATTCTTATCAATAATGAGAATTCAGTTGTGATTTTTCAAGCTGTCTCAATTGAGTTAAGTGGGTGGAAGAGGTGGGAGTAGTGTATTAGAATCCTGAGAAAAAACTTGAGTGCAGATAAAGTGCTTTGTTTCTCCTATACTTTTATGAATTTTTAGTCATAGTATTAAATGTTTTGAAATTTAAAATAATATTAAAATAAACATATGCTTTAAAAAAGAGGTTGGAAAAGTCCAGTGTAAAAGAACTCTTTAAGAATCTGAAGAATTTCATGGTTTATTTCCAGACAAAAGGTATTTGATGAATGTTTTGAATTGAACAGAATCAACAGACAACTCAAAATGCTTTTAATTTAGTAAATATGCACACAGAAACAGTTATGTTCTTACAGAATTGTGTTGAGGAACTGAACAGTATGATGGTCTAAAATTTAAGTAGAAAAGTAAATCCTGAAACTCTGAGCACATGTAATTTTATTCTGACATTTTGTGTTTCCTGATCTTATCACCTTTGTAAATATCCATAGAAAGAGTTAACTTATCGTCCCTTCTCATTTCCGCTTCCTGGTGTCTTCTATACTGTAAATATAAAACTGGGGATACATGCTCAGATTGGGCACAGCTCTGACTACTGAATTTCTTTCTCCTCAAGCTGGTTATCCAAAGACAACTAGATTTTCAATCTAGACTTTTTGGCTTTCAGTCCCAGAACAACCATACTCCAACACATTTTCAGAGAACCATTATTTTCCTACCTGCTATAAGGTGGTAGCTCACCGAGAAGGTTCAAACCATTCAGTTTTCACAGTTGGAGGCAGACTGAAAGAATGCTTACAGTGCAGGCCCTCCCAATCCAGAGGCTCTATGTATATGTGATGGACATTGTCCCACTCCCCTGAAGTCCAAGGAATACTTACCTCTAGCTTCAGAACATCATGCTGAAGTTTACGCTGAAATTCAAGGAAGTTTTTGATTGTCAGTTTTCCTTTAAGATCAGCTCCAAAAAAGTAGGTTGTGAGGGCCGAACACAAGCCTGACTTCAGGGTGTTACCAGTAGTAGGCCGATCTCTGTGACGCATACCCATACTGGTTTGGGAGCGAATGATGCTTTGAACCTAATAGAAAAGTAAACCCCTATCAGGAAAAACATTCATAGTGGAAAGATATAGAAGAGTAAGAACAGTAACTGACTACTGACTGTTTACTATTTATCTATACTCTTTTCATGCTTTCAGTAATCCTATGAGATAAATGTTATGATCATTCTCATTTTACAGATGCAGAATTAGAGACATATGAGTTAAATGACTTGCTCAAGGTCAAGTAGCAAGCAACAGAACCAGCATTCTAACATAGACACCTGACACCTTTAAAATTGGAATGCTGTTTAAAATCTCTTTAGAAAATATGTTAAGACTCAAAATCTTTCTTACAAAGCTAAGATAATTATCAATTTCAAAGTAAAACCTTCCATATCTCAAGAGACTTTAAAAAATTTCACACTTTTCACTGATGTCCAATTGTGACAAGAAGGCAATATACATAAAGGTAAATACTTTATAGCTAAAAGAGAGAACACATTTATAGGAATGGTACATGAAATAAATAGTTGGAATGAAATAATTTTCCAAGAAAATTACTAGCTCAACCTTTGAGAAGTCTTCAATGAACTCTCTGAAAAAGGATAATTTTTAGGACTAGCAATTGTGGCCTAACTATTTAAGTGAGGTTTTTGAGGTGTATCTGTGATTGCTATAGCTTAAAAAAAACCTAGTTCCTGCAGACTGTTTGTTTTTACCACTTTACAAGTCAAAAAAAAAAAAAAAAAAAAAAACCCAGAAAAACCAAAAAAACTATTCAGAATAATTAAAATTGGGATATGTAAATTATAAAGGTATGTTACATAAACAATAATATAGTCTTGTGGATCATGATTTTGAATTGCCAAATTAGAAAAACATAATATATCAAAACCTAAAATTTGTAATAATGGATTTACCTTATGCCCTTTTTTTTTTCTTTTTTAAATTGAGGCAACTTCAGTTTATAACATTGTATTAGTTTTAGGAGTACAGTTTTATACTTCGAGACCTGTCTATACTGTACTGTGATCACCACCAAGTAAATGTCTTTTACTTGTTATTTGTGGCCATAAAAACATTTATTTGAGATAACTTAAAAGTCTCTGGCTCTATAAAGAGTAGAATAGTATAATGGAATATAGATGGCAAGACAGGAAACATGGGGTCTGATTCTGTTGCTCTGTAGTGAAAGCAATATTGAGGCAGATCATTTAACCTCTTCAAGCCTTACATTTTTCATTGGAAAAGTTCAGGATTAAAGCTCATTATTCATAAGTGTGCTTGTAATTCTACGTTAGTATCTGAAGTTTGCTTTGATTATGATTTTTTTCTGAGTGCATGTTTTATCATCCAAATAGGATTTGCTGATGTCTGTTTCTCATACACATGAAACCTTGAAAGACAGGTATATAATTATTTAAGTTGCAATTTTTTAAACTTTAAATGGACATACAAGATAATTAGAAGAATGTTTCATCTGTTTAAATGCAATACACAATGCATAAGTGTGAGAATTAATGGATTTTCTTTTTTTAAAAAAAATAAAGTTTATTTGTAAAGAAGAACTGGGGTATAGGTCAGAGGTGGGGGGGAGAGGTGAGAAGATTCACTACAGAGTGGGGAGCAGAAAAGGCAGATTTACTGAAATACACTGCTAAGGGCAGCAGCCAGCAAGACAGGAGAGGCAGCTGTGCAACAAGTGGGTTAGCTCCGTGGCGGGGGATTGAACTCAGGCTAACTCAGGCCATAGTGGTGATAGCACTGAGACTTTAACCCCTAGGTTGCCAGAGATGCCAAAAAGGAGTGTTTTTAGAGAATATTAATGCTATAGATATTCATTAATAATTAATAATAGCACAATCCAAATGTCTCATTTATGTGTAAACTAAATTTAAAAACTACTAAAATTATATATCATGAAATTCTGTGTATATGTGGGAGGCAGATTGTTTTCTTAGATTTTTGTCATTTGGGAAATATTTCCTTGATATATTTTTATTTAGACAACTTGTTAAGGGTGTAAAGTGGGATTCAATCAAAAATATCAATTCAATATTAAGTGAATACCATATACTACATATTGTAGAGAAAATCAAGAGAAATACAAAATATGATCTCTGAAATAAAATTTCATTCTTTTTCTTTTTTCACTTCTCATTATTTCATAGTATGGCCTTGAGAATGCAGTCCAAGAAGGTATGAGATTTCAAAAATAACTATTTTGCTAGGTTAGTTCTGTTTCTGACCCACTATAAAATGGGCTTAAAATAAGTGTTATAGGAAGTTGATTAATGCTTTTTTAGTAATTTGTGTTGATGCATGATCAAAGTAATTTCAGAAAAAGATGAATAAAAGAGTAATATCAGCTATTATATTGCTTCATGAAACATTAACTTTGAAGATAAATGTTGATGAAGTGTATGAGGTCCTCATATTGGTTCTATTTAACTTTTAAAAATAAGCTTGACAAATGCAATGTCAAAGAAACAACTCTTTCACCAGGGAAATCAGAGCAAGTTCAAATGTCTGAAAGCCTAGCGTATACTTTCAACTTAATTGTAATTTTTTAACAAGAATGAACAATGTAAAAAGATGAAGCAGAGAAATTTATGATGAGGGCAGTTCACTAAAAAAAAGCTTCTTCCTACATATATTTTTTTTCCTTTTTTGAAAACACTTCTGACAATCATAACAATTTTATCTGCAGAGGTACCATGGCTTCCAATTACAGAAAGTTTATGTAAATGTATTTTCTACCTAGGATTCAGAAGAAACTATATATCCATGACTGCAACCCTACTATAGTCAAAGGCATGGCTTCTCTTATGGAAATCTTTTCAAAACAAATGTCATTCATCCTTACATTCTGCTAGATATGAAGTATCTGTATGATAAATTTAATTTCTTACATTTAGAATAAAAAAACAAAAATCCCCCAGCTGTTAAAAAGTGGAGAGATTTTGAAAAATGATACATCATATACATCAAAAATTGGATAGCACCTAGCATCTGAATATATGGAGCAAAGTAACTCCAAGGCGCGTGACAATACTAATGTATTAAAAGGAATCCTTCAGGATGACTTGCCTGCTCAAACTCTTCCATGTCTACTTCTCCATCACCATTCAAGTCAAACATCTTAAAGGCAATTTCAAAATTTCTCTGAGGAGCTGCAAGTAGATAGGGAGGAGTAAAGAAAGAAAGGAAGGACAAAAAAAAAAAAATTTAGAATTTTTAGTCCTTATTTAGGCCTTGACCAAAAATTAAAAAATTATTCAAGAAAAATAGATGATTAAATATTAAAATGTAATATCAAGTCACGGAAAGCCACCGTATTTAACAAGGTCAACTTTTACCATGATCAGTAAAGAGCATTTGCCTATTTTTGTTTCAACACTCTCTCTCTTAAGTACTTCGGCTTTGCTTTCTTAGACACCATCATCTTTTTTTTTTTTTTTTTAAGCTTCACCCTTTGTAGTTTGCTTAACATTTAAATATTTAAATTAGCTCTCTTATTTTCCTTTAGGTGAAAAGAATTCCTTGCCTGTTTTTTTTTTACATTTTTTTAATAATAAATTTTATTTTTATATTCCCCATACAATTGCAACCCCCTTATTTTGACCCCAATCCCTCCCCTCTCGCCCCCTACCCCCCATAGAGTGTCTCTGGTTCATAGTTTTTTGTTGATTTTGATTTTCACTTTCTTATAGTTATTCATTTTCCTGGTCCCTTATTTAAGTTTTCTAGATTCCTGCTATGAGTGAGACCATCTGGTATTTTTCTTTTTCTTTCTGGCTTATTTCGCTGAGCATGATCCCTTCCAGCGCCATCCATGTTGCTGCAAATTGCATGTGTTTATCTTTTTTGAATGCTGAGTAATATTCCATGGTATATATGTACCACATCTTCTTGATCCAGTCATCTATTTTTGAGCATTTGGGTTGTTTCCAAAGCTTAGCTATTGTATACAGTGCTGCTATAAACATAGGGGTGCAGGTGCTCTTTGGAATTGATGTTTCTGTGTCCTTTGGGTAAATACCTAGGAGTGGAATTGCTGGATCATATGGAAGCTCTATGTTTAGTAGGTCCAGAAATCTCCACACAGCTCTCCATAGTGGTTGGACCAGTTTGCACTCCCACCAACAGTGCAGAAGAGTTCCTTTTTCTCCACACCCTCGCCAACATTTGTTGTTGTTAGTTTTTTTTAATATGACACCACCATCATCTTAACTGTAGAATATTAATGTTGTTCTGTTACTTAAATACACCGTTATTTATTCAAGATGAAAATCAACCTGGGGTGAGACATGATGTTGCAAAGTAAGAAGCTGAAATTCTAAGTCTTTGTCTTGCCTTTTAAAAACAAGCTAGCTTTCTACTTCTTCTTTCTAATCTCTCCATTTTAAGTAGAGCCAGGAATTCTGTGGATGCTGTTATGCCAACAGATTATTAATTATACTAGTTTACTCATTAGCATTACTGCCTTGTTGTAAGGTAGAAAAAGCATACTGTTAGCTACTCAGACTCCTATTTCAACCATGTCAGCAAGGTACACAAATTACTAAGCAAGATATACTTAAATGTTAAAACAGAGCTTAACTGTAAAGGCAAATAAACAAACAAAAAAATGGAAAACTTGAGAAGATTTTTTTTTTCCCTTAAGTAAATGATGAAAGTTTGTCAAGCCTTCTTTAATATTCTGAGATCAAGCAAAACATAATTAATATACCTGTGCATTAGAGTAAAACATAAAAGTAATAGCTCTCTTTCCTTATCATGCAGAATATTCTGGTAATAAAAACTAAAAAAGCTTCCATTGGAGCTTCGATTTGTGTAGCTATAAATTGATGTAATGTATGTAAAGAATAAACCAAAATAAAATATCCCTTATATTGTAATACTATTGAATTAAATTTTCAGTTTAATTCATTTTCAGCTAGTTAGCTAGGCTGGTAAGCACCTGGTTTTGAGTTCACTGAGTGAATCATGTGCCTATCAGTTTCCAATTGTCTGCCACATTTGATGTTGGCTTTTAACAGATTTGCTCTTCTTTAAGCCAAAAGTACAATAGCTAGGAAGGATGCAGTTGGGGAATTAGATTTTTGTATCTTTATTGCCACTTCTTAAATTTTTCCTGTCTAGGTGTTACCTTTTACTGATTAATTACTATGTGCCAACCACTGAGCTAGGTAATTTAAAGCTGCTGATTATTTGATTTTGTACTCTCAATTCTGAAAGTTTTCATTTCTTAGTTTTTTAAATCAGGAGAAAATGGAGGCTCAAAATCATTAAGAATAGGTGAAAATCACACAGTTAATATGTGGCAGAACTGGTAAATGAACCTAGATAAATGCTGACTCAAAGTCCATATACTTTTCATTATGCTCCACAGCCTATAATATGAAGACAGAGGTACCTACAATAAAGAACACATACACTCTATTCTGATATGTTTTGACCTAGAAATAAAATAAAATATGACTCAATGGTTACATCATTCTCTGCAATAACTGAGAGTTCCAAGTTGTGCATCTTAAGGACATAGCTGACATCAAAGAAATACTGCATATGCCATGCTCAGTGGTTTAGATTCGACTCTACTGACTGGAGATCTATAGACAACTGGAGATCTAGATTCACTAAAAGTTTTAAGTATGGCAATGATACAACCAAATAGGCATTCATAAAGTAATGCTCTGGCTACACCATGAAGGATGAGTTGGAAAACAAGAATTAGCTTCAGATTTTCAGATCAAATCACATGTCATATGTTTTTAAAAATTCAGAATATTCAGGAATGCATTCTCCTATTCTGCCACAAGTCTCATACTTGGTTACTTCACTTATATGTATTATTTGCCTATTCCTTGTAAAGACTTGAGACCATAACAACTGCAGACAATAGGTACGCCCTGAAAGTTTTAAGTAGGGGAATGACACAATCAAATAGGCATTCATAAAGTACTATTCTGGTTACACCAACATGGATGAACTGGAAAACAAGAATTAGCTTCAGAGAAGATAACAGATGCTCTTGTTGAAAGTGCAGGATAGTGACAGGCGATAGAGCCAAATCTTGGTCCACAAGGAGCTGGGAAGGCCTTGGCTATTGGCACACACTTCTGTGGCTGCAGGGTCTTGCCAACGGTATGCATATGGCAGTGGAACTTCTGCTTTGGTGAGTAAGCATCTGAGTCCCCGTTCATCTTTAAAGAAGCTTCTGTGGCTTAATCATCAAGTCATATTCTTAGTTTTTTTTAAGATTTATTTTATTTATACAAGAACCAGGGTACAAGCCAGATGCGCAGGAGGGTGAGAGGATCCACCAGAGACAGAGTGGGGAACAGAACAGGCAGAACGACCGAAATACACTGCTGAGGGGAGTAGCGGGCGAGACAGGAGAGGTCTGCCCCACCATGTGGGTTGCTCCGCGGCCGACGGGGATCGAAAAGGCACTGCAGAGGCTGTGGACAGCCTCACAGTGCTGCACTCACCTGCCTGTGCCACCAGGGAGGCCCCATATTCCTATTTTCAAGGACCTTATACTACTACCACTATATGTGGTGAGGTTCATGCAATTCATATTATCTATGTGTCAACTTATGCTTCATTACTGGAAAGACAAGGGAGCCAAGCAAAAAACTGAATTATAAGCAGGATTAGTCCTATAAAATGTCAAGGAAAGATTTCGTGATGAGTTTAAGATAAAACAAGATGATGACCTCATCTTTGAGAATAATGGTATAAAGATGCAACAATAATCTGATAAACACTGACAAAGTTTAAAAAATGTCAATAATGTATGTTTTCACCAATATTACATATAGTCAATTAAATTTAAGTGTCAGAATAAACATTATTAAAATGGCCATCCTACCAAAAGCAATATACAGATTCAATGCTATTCCAATCAAAATCTCAATGGCATTCTTCAAAGAAATAGAACAATTATTGATGAAATTCATATGGAATCACCAAAAACCCCGAATAGCCAAAGCTCTACTGAAAAAAAAAGAAGGAAATGGAGGCATCACACTCCCAGACTTCAAACTATACTACAAAGCCATAATCATCAAAACTGCATGGTATTGGAACAAGAACAGACATACAGACCAATGGAATCGAATAGAAAATCCAGAAATAAACCCACAGATTTATGGTCAACTAATCTTTGACAAAGGAGCAAAGACTATGCATTGGAGCAAAGAAAGTTTGTTCAATAAATGGTGCTGGGAAAACTGGGTCGCTACATGCAAAAGAATGAAGCTTGACCACTACCTCACACCATACACAAAAATCAACTCAAAATGGATTAAAGAACTAGACATAAGACCTGAAACCATAAAATACATAGAAGGAAATATAGGCGAAACACTACGGGATTTGCACATCAAAGACATCTTTACAGACACATCACCCAAAGCAGTGATAGTGAAGAGAAAGATAAACAGCTGGGACTACATCAAATTAAAGAGCTTCTGCACAGCAAAAGAGACAATAACAAAAACAAAGAGAAACCCCACCAACTGGGAGAACATTTTTGCACCCAACACTAATGATAAAGGACTGATCACAAAAATCTGCAAAGAGCTGATGAGACTCAGCAACAAGAAAGAAAATAATCCAGTCAAAAAATGGGCAGAAGAGCTAAAAAGAAACTTCTCTGAAGAGGAAATGCAAATGGCCAACAGACATATGAAAAAATGTTCAACATCACTTGTAATCAGGGAAATGCAAATCAAAACTACCATGAGATACCATCTCACACCAGTGAGAATGGCACATATTAAAAAAACTAGCAACAACAAATGTTGGCGAGGGTGTGGAGAAAAAGGAACTCTTGTGCACTGTTGGTGGGAGTGCAAACTGGTCCAACCACTGTGGAGAGCTGTGTGGAGATTTCTGGACCTACTAAACATAGAGCTTCCATATGATCCAGCAATTCCACTCCTAGGTATTTACCCAAAGGACACAGAAACATCAATTCCAAAGAGCACCTGCACTCCTATGTTTATAGCAGCACTGTTTACAATAGCTAAGCTTTGGAAACAACCCAAATGCCCAAAAATAGATGACTGGATCAAGAAGATGTGGTACATATATACCATGGAATATTACTCAGCATTCAAAAAAGATAAACACATGCAATTTGCAGCAACATGGATGGCACTGGAAGGGATCATGCTCAGCGAAATAAGCCAAAAAGAAAAAGAAAAATACCGGATGGTCTCACTCATAGCAGGAATCTAGAAAACTTAAATAAGGGACCAGGAAAATGAATATAAGAAAGTGAAAATCAAAATCAACAAAAAACTATGAACCAGAGACACTTTTTGGGGGGTGGGGGGCGGGAGGGGAAGGATTGGGGTCAGAATGGGGCGTTTGCAATTGTATGGGGGAATATAAAAATAAAATTTAATATTTAAAAAAAAAAAAAAAAAAAAAAGAAATAAAAGGAAAGGAAATTCAAAAAAAAAAAAATAAAGTGGAGAAATGTATTAAAATATTTAAAGACCTGCTAAATTAAAGAAGGATGTGTCTTGTGCAAAATAGTATGATTTAAAGTCCCTATGAATTAGTTATGTACTGAGTGCTGAATTAAAATAGATTTACACAAAAAAAAAAAAAAAAAATAAATTTAAGTGTCATCTCAATAGCTAATTTTGAGGCACAAATAGTTTTGGGTAGACTATAGATTTGGTAGTCAAATGAGAGAATGAACAATAAATTGCCCCTTCAAAAGAAATAATCAACTATTGGGTTGTCAGAAAAGTCATGATGTAAAAAAAAAGTGTCGTGTCTTTACGACAACCCAATATAATCTTTATTGAATTTTCTTAGAGTACTTTATACCTTTGAGAATGGTATAATATTAGGAAAGACTTGACCTCATTAACCACAGGGACAACCTGGGGGAAAGATATCCCAGATGCAACGTACAGTCATAATGCCTACACTCTGTACAGCACCTATACAAACCCATAAACTGACTGACCAGTCTGTAGTGAGTTATAGGGTATCCAGACCCCACTAAAATAGGAGAGGAGAGGAGTTAAGTTGCTATTCCTAAAAGCACTTATTGGAAGGATCCAGTTAGCAATTCTGTCCATAAAGAAAAAAAGTTAGAAACTTAATGCATATTCTTAGAAAAGACTTGAATTCATATTGACTTACTTTTGCTTTTATTTGCAAGATACTAAGATAATAAAATAGTAAGAAAATCACTGTGAGCTTATTACCATTAGATATAGGCTCTGCAATGGCAACAGAGAGCTCTTTATTCTTTGTTGTATGGCAACTGGCAAGGCCTTAGTTGTACAGACACTCCTTACTATTGCTTTTCTACTGTTTGCATTTTTTTCTAGAAAATATATTTGAGCCCTGATTCTAAAATAAAAAAGATCTATAATTTCACACTTAAATGAAATAGTTGATGTCTCTAGTTATCAGAACATAGCTTTTGAGCTGTATCTCAGCCTTAGCTACTAAATGACCTTCAGAGAGCTGCCAGAAGCAGTCTTTCATTTAAATTGCTCTTCCTTACACTGTTATTTGACAGTTGTGCTACAGGAAGGGTATTAAGTGCCAGAGATGTCAAAAAGCTTGGATTCCCCAAGTGTTCCTGGGAGATTCTAAAGGCATACATCCTAGTGCATTATCCTTGCATTAAGGTCACTTCCCCCCATAGGAATATATTTTCTTTAAATGCACATTACTATTTTTATGCCCAAATTACATATGTCCATATGATAGGACCCCTGAACCTCTGTCTTCAGAGATCTTTTTAAAAAAATCACCTGCCTGATATTCACTTCATTATACTGGTTTTTCATTCCATCCCATGTGCTCAATAATAGCTAAAGTGGAAGCTTATGTCAAAATATTGCGTTTTCATAGATAATTAGAACTAGCAGCTTTAATAAAGAGAATGGATTTTTGTTACTTAATCCATGCTGATCTTAAAGACTCTCTTAACATGTGACTAGGTTTGGTATGCACCTGAAAGTTGTTTTTCAATTTAATAATCAAATGGAAAAAAAGTAGCTTATTCTAATAAATTTTCTAGTTTTCATTGTGTATTGTATTATTATTGTTATGGTTTTCTAAAAGATTTAGTGATTAGATTTAGTGACCAAAGACACTGCTGAGGGGAGCAGTGAGCAAGGCAGGAGAGGTCTGCCGTGGCTGGACGGGAATCGAACCCCCGCTGCAGAGGTTGCAGACAGCTTCACAGCACTGTGCTCAACCCGCTGCACCACCCGGGAGGCCCTTATTATTTTTAAACAGTTTTAAAGACTAGGCAGGATGTACAAGGTACCTGGAGCACTATGAAATTTTAGGATGTATTATAAGTAACTATTCAGAAAAATTCTTAGATATTTATTTAGCCAACAAATATACACTGAGTACTTATTATATCAGATACTGTGCTGTATTGCTTCTCCAGAAGGGGCAGTGATTAGGTGAACCATGCCATGACAACCACTATTTCTTGCCTTGATTTCCTTTTTTGCACCCTCAAATTCCCCAGAACAAGTATTTTCTAAAATTGTTCTAGAAAAGGTAAGCAACACATGATGAACCCTAAGCATAACCAAATACTATTAATTTGTGAGTTTTATGGAGAGGTCAGCTATATGTAGATTTTTTTGTCTATCTTATTATAGTCCAGTTTGTAAGACGTACACAATGTGGAAAAAAAAAACAAAACAGGGCTTAGAGACCACAAGATTTTTAAACACCATCAATTATTGAGGACTGAATTTCTACAAGCATCCACAAAACAAAAACAGGACAGGGTTGGGCCTGAGAAGGAAAAGGACATATCTGGGTCAGAAGAATTAAAATATTTTTAGAGCAGCACTGTTACTTGGATACAATGTTAGGTACTTTGGGGATAACAAGTCAAATGACAGTTTCTATTTAAAGGTATTTAGTGATATTGTATCTACTGCCTAAACATTCATCAATTAGAAATTCTTTTTTTTTTTTTTAATAGAGGCATGTTTTTATTTATTTATTTGTTTGTTTTGTTTATACATGCACTGGGTACAGTCAGAGGCACGGGAGGGTGAGAGAATTCACCAGAGACAGAGCGGGGAGCAGAGCAGGCAGAAAGACCGAAGTACACTGCTGAGGGGAGCAGCGGGCGGCAGGAGAGGTCTGCGTGCCATGCGGGACCCTCCTCTGGTGGCCGGGGAGCAGCCAGGGATCAAACCGGCGCCGCAGAGGCTGCGGGCAGCGTCGCAACCCAGCGCTCAACTGCTGCGCCACCGGGGAGGCCCCTAGAAATTCTTTTGAATTAACAAGTATTTTCCTGCAAATATATCCTTATTAATTCTTTATTTAATTAATTTAAAATAATTTAATTAATTCCTTATTTCCACAAAAATGTGATTTCCCCCTTCAATTAATTTAACTCTTTTTATATTCCTATATACCCCCTATAAACATATGCAAGAAAAAGTTTAATCCTAAATTATATAGTTGTACGTTATTACCACAATCAAAAATATGATTTTAAAAAGTAGACAAAATGGGGCCTCCCCGGTGGCGCAGCGGTTAAGCGCTGGGTTGCGAAGCTGCCCGCGGCCTCTATGGCGCCGGTTCGATCCCCGGCTGCTTCCCGGCCACCAGAGGAGGGTCCCGCATGGCGCGCAGACCTCTCCTGCCGCCTGCTGCTCCCCTCAGCAGCGTACTTCGGTCCTTCTGCCTGTTCTGCTCCCCGCTCTGGCTCTGGTGAATTCTCTCACCCTCCCGCGTTTCTGACTGTACCCAGTGCATGTATAAACAAAAAACAAAGAAAGAAAGAAAGAAAGAAAGAAAACATGCCTCTATAAAAAGTAGACAAAATGACAACACAATTATAACAAAAAAGTGTATACTTACTAGAAAGAACAGTTGTAAGGAAAATGTAGTCTGAAAAGGAAATGAGTCCACATTCTCCGAGGGTGTAAAAGATACTGCCTTCATCAGCAAATTTTTCTCGTTCCTGGGCAATTTTCTATTAAATGTACGGGTTTCACCAAAAGATAAAGAGGAGATATAATAGTGAATAAATATTAGAGATGAACCATCATTTACCTGATAGTTTTATGTTATTTCTCATAAGCAATTCTCTGATGGCCATTCCAAATTAATGGATCCTTTACAGTTTATAAGATGAGGAAAATAGTAAGACAAAGACTTTGTTCCAGCACTGTCATATAAACATTGGAAACTAACTTCAATTTTATGACTTCCCGATATTTAACATATACAAGCCTACTTCAGGGCTGGTTATGTTTTGTAGTTTTAAAAACAATCCATCTTCTATAGAGGCATATAAAGTAGAAAATATTTCAAAGTAAAGAAATGAAAAACTAAAATGAAGTCAGCTCTAATTGCCCAAGGAAAACATACTGCTAATGATCAAAATGAAGAAGTAACTATTTCTAAGGCCCACACAAAAGCTCAGAAAACTAATTTCTGGAATACTATTTTAAATTTTATTTTATGATCCCAACAAGTTTAGTTTGGGAATGAAGAACAGCTTGCAGAGTAAACATCTCTGAAATATCATGGCAAATCAGATATACATGCTAGGCTTAGGCATGGTGTAATTTGATCATTTTTACCACAACCTTGGTAAAATTTCAGCTATTTGAGGAAACTATACAAACATTTAGCTTTTACTCTAAGTATATATTCATTTTCTTTACTCTGTAAAGTTCACAGAGAGAGTAAATTCTCAGCTTCAGTAATCGCCTATCTGGTAAATAGGTGTTTAGGCAACTAATCCTGTATTTTGAAACGTTTGCTAGACTATAAACTTAGTGGTGATATGATATTGAAGGTATTATAAAAACTGAAAAGGATCCACCAAAGAGCTAGACTTGCAACTAATTTCTATAAGTTCTGAGCCAATAAAAGATATTCAAGGAGTTACTGTGAGTACCAAAAGAAGAAACAGAGGTTTTAAGAACCCAAACCAGCAAAGCTCAAAGTAATAATGTCATGCAAGCACAAAGAAGCTGCATTGCAAGCATAACCTCCATAGGAGTATCAAGAAAACTAAATCAACAAGCACCACAACAGCATCCAGGTATACACAACTATCCAATAGGTTACCTCTGTCTGATGGAAATCCCATCATATACCACAAAGGAAAGAAAATCGGTTAACCAATTGAAAACACAAGTACCAAATGAATCATCATGATCACCTTAGTAAACCAATGCAAAATAGCCTCTACTAGATATTTGCTTGTTTGGATAATACAATAACCATGGAAATGTAAAAATCCACAGATGGTCAAAAAGCAGTACTATGAATTTGAGAGCAGGTTCTACTTAGGAAAGGGCTTGTCTGACTTAACCTATGGCAGACCAAAGGAATGGTCCTGCTTGACAGCATTTGGAGATTACTTTTTTTGAGCTGACAACAGAAATAAACACATAGTCTGATATATTCAGATTAAGGTTAAATAGATCCTATACCAAACTTAATCTTCTATCAAGAAATTAAAAAAAATTTTCAGGGAAAAAAGCTATCAGATGATAACTATAATAGCAGTGTTTTTCACTGGGAAGATAATGTTTTAATTTCTCAAAGTAAGAGAACAAGTGGTTACATTTTTAAAATTACCCAAGATACTGTAAAAGCAAAGCATATGAATAGGAAAAAATACACAAAATAAGAACAGGCTCCCAATGGCACAGCACTACTAGCCATAAAAATAAATGTGTAGAGAAGTTGAGTACTTATATTTATATAAGTACTTAAAACGACAGAGTAACATTATGGGGAGATTACTGATAAAATAGTATTTATTTTGTAAAGAAATAAAATAAATAATGTATTGGGTGCCAAAGATTGAAAAACAATCTAGGGACTGAGTGAAATGACACAGCTAAGTCAAAGAAGAATATGTAACATTTCATTTCCTATGAACAGACATTTTCTTACATACCACAGTAAAAATTCAATAGTACTTAATAGACAGTAATATATAAACTACTGTCTAATCTACAGTCTTTTTAAATAAACTGATTTCTTTTTTTTTAAAAGATGTATTTATTTATTTATGCATACACGAGCTGGGGTACAGGCCAGAGATGTGAGGGGTGAGAGGATTCACCAGAGACAGAGTAGAGAACAGAATAGACAGAGTGACTGAATACACTGCTGAGGGGAGCAGCAGGTAAGACAGGAGGGGTCTGCCTCACCATGTGGGTTGTTCCCTGGCCAAGGATCGAATTCGTGCTGCAGAGGCTACAGATTGCTTCATAGTGCGGTGCTTATCCCCTTGCACCACCAGGGAGGCCCTAAAACTGATTTCTTTTATAGGCATTTTCCCCCTACTTCAGGATGTAACCCACAATTATAAATGGCATTTGGCTGTCAAATCTCTTTAGTCTCCATTAATCCAAAATAGCTTTGTTTGCCCTTATTTTTTCCTTTTGCAGTTTATTATTTTCAATTGTGGTAAAATTCACATAAAAAACCCACCATTTTAACCATTTAATTATATAATATGCCTTTGGGTTTGACTTCTTTCACATAGTTTTCTAGGTTCATCCACTTGTAGCATAAATCAGTACCTTATTCTTTTTTATTGTCAAATAATATTCCATTGTATATATACCACAATTTTTGCATCTAGTCATACACTGAAGGATGTTTGGGTTGTTTCCATCTTTCATCTTTTGTGAATAGTGCTAGTATGCAAATATATGTACAAGGAATTGGTTTAGTATCTTTTACCAGTTCTTTTGGTACCTAGGAATGGAGTTGCTGGTTCATGTAGTAATTCTATGTATACGCTTTTGAGAATCAACCAAACTGGTAAGCAAACACCATTTCTGAACTTCAGGAGCGATATGGAGGCATATTCCAAGTAAAATGTAATCTTCCTTAATTGATAGTAATGTTCATTTTCTCTGTCTCAGAGAAAATATTGTTTTCACTAATATTTATGTTAACATGTATTCTGCTATGAAAATTTATTGTAAGGATTTGTGCTTAATTCAAGCAATAAAGTCAATATAAATAATATAATAAATTAAAACAAAAAATTCCCTATATAGAAGTTAAAAGAAATAGAATATATTCCATTTCTATCCTAAGGGCAAATAATGTGAGATTAAGTAATATATTAAAATATCCATTTGGTAAAAAAATTTATATTTAAGGGCCTAAGAGAAAACTTGTTTCATATTGAAGTTCCTACACTAAGATCTAGCAACACTTCAGTATATATGCTGAAATTTAAACAAAACTGGTTATTTTAAAAAGAGACTGCGGGCCTCCCTCGTGGCGCAGGGGGTTAAGACACAGCCTGTGAAGCTGTCTACAACCACTATGGCATGAGTTTGATCCCCGGCCAGCCGCAGCAGACCTCTCCCAGCTCTCCTGCTGCTCCCCTCAGCAGTGTGTTTCAGTCAGTCTGCCTGTTCTGTTTCCCACTCTGTCTCTGGTGAATCCTCTCACCCCCACACCTCTGGCCTGTACCCCAGTTCTTGTACAAATAAATAGATCTTTAAAAAAAAGAGACTGCAATTGTTGATACCTTACCAAATATTATGCTATTTTTGCATCACATAGGTTACCTATCAAACTCTAGTGCATCACTTGAACCTTTGAAATTAAGGCTGTGAAAGCAAATGCAGATCCAAAGATCAAAATAGCACTTTTATTCAATTTACTGACAAGGGTTACCTCTTTTTGGAAAACAAAACAATGCAAAATATTTCAAAGCAATGTGTCACTGAGTTAAATGAATTAATTTTAAATTGTTTCACTGTTCAATTGCATGGTCTAGTTCTAGATCTTATTTGCTCCAAAGTTTAAAACATAGCTAGCTATACCTTCACTATTACTAATCTATTCAAATGATTGACCTCAAGGAAAGGCAATACCTTTTACTTGAAGTAAATACCTTCATAAGGATTATGATATTGATTTCAATTGTACCATATCCTGAAAATATTTTATTTTAGATAAGTAGACTTAAAAATAAGCAGATAAATAGACTTAAAAATAATCCTGTACATGTGTAATTGATATACTTCTCAGTGAGTTTAAAACCTGAATTGTTTTTAACAGAATGGCTTTGTGCTAATGTACTCTCACTGGTTATTGACCACTCACATAAATGTACAAAACATATGGCTAAAGTTGCAGGTGCCATCAGGAGCCCTGGAATTGGATGTGATTCAAACTCAAACAGACTTAAAACAGATACAATTCAAACACATTTGTACTCACTGTGCTCAAACAGCAAATGCTAATTGTTGTAGGACTGACCTAAATAGGTCTAATAATTTTACCTTCTAGGGCTCAACTGGATATAGTCAAAGTGAAAAATCCTATCTAGGAATTTAATGTCACTATTTATTCTAGTTAGGACCACTTCTCAAATTCTAACTTTTGAAATGAACCTTATCTACCAAACAGAAGTCGATGGACTATGCTGGCAAAATAGATGCTTGTATATTGTCCAGAACTTCAAGACATCTTAGAATATAGAAAATCTGACAAAGAACATGCCTTTATTATTTAAATTAAGGTACCATCTTTTATGAGATGGAAATAATTGCATTTTTTTTTAGTGTTAACATTTCTCTATACTGCTGAAATACATTTTAAAGTCTATTAAAATCTTTCAAATAATAATTGAAGTAGTATTTGAAAAAGCAAATTATAATAACATGCTTCTTCCAGAAAGTGAAATTTTGCTAAATCATTTCTACCTAGGGAGGGGGTTAGGGGAGGTGGGAATGTTAGGGAAGGTGAGAACGTTAGAAGAAAAGAGAAAATTCAGCAATTTCCCCATGCAATTAATCCTTACATTTCATTGTTTAGTTGTTGCATAGATAGATGCCAAAGCTTTGGTAAGAAATCAATCTTAAACAGTCACACTATTCCCAATGAAACAGAAAATGCTGCACAGTTTAAATATGAGCTATTTTTCTTCCCTCATGCCTAGTTGAATTTGCAAAAAGGTAAAAATTTGGTGCTATG